TTTTTCAGTGGCTGTGTTACTTGTGTCTGACACATTCATATGCAAATGACTAATCTGTGAAACAAACAGGGGCGGAGACAAACCACTCAAATGTTTGGAAACACTCATTGTGTGTCAGATAGCTACTGATAACACATCCTAACATTGCTTTGTCTTGAGTTTATCTTTGAAACTTATAGGCACACAGATTAAACCTGTGTTGTTGATTTTGGAAAACACTACTGAGGCTGCCTTGCTTCCCTTCAGAAAATCTACATTTTAACCAACTTACATGACATTCTATGTTATATTGACTTTATCATATGAAAGTTTATGGTGCATTTCATCAATTAATAAATAAATGTGAAAATCGTAATTTTCAACACAAATAATAGTCTTGCTACCTTAAAAGGGTCTCCAAGAGGGTCCAGTTTTTCTCACATACATTAAAACACACATAAATACCCTTGTTGATTATCACATGATTAATTTGCATGTGTACCCTTGTACTTTTTTACTCCAGTGGCCTATATAAATGTGAGACTTTGAATGTAATTCTCAGTACCTAATTGATTTATCTCACATAAAATTAGTCAACTTTTGACTGAAGCTTATGTGGACGGAATTGACATTCAAGAAATCATGTTGTCTAATTGTGCATCACATATATATTCATAACGTGTTACTAAATGGGTTATATGAATACAACAGAACAATTTATGAGATAGATCAGCTGTCATGTGAATAATGCAGCATAGCTTACCCTGGTACTGAACTATTCTTAACACAATGATAATCTAACGCTCCAAACATCTGTACACCCAGTATACCATATAGAGTTAGAAAGAACACAAGAAATATTGTCACACTCCAAACTTGCTGACTTGATCGCCTGCAAAGCAGAACATAATAGAATGAAATATAATATTAAAAAACCTTTAATAGTTTTTTTTATTAAATGTTTTTTTTTGCCCGACGAAAGTTCTAGACATTGAATGTCACTGCTGTCTGTCCTGACTTTTTTTTTTTGTATGTGCAAATTGCAAGTGCTGACACATAGTGCAGTTTTGCCATATTCATGTTTTGAATCACATGACAGGGCTGTGTGGTCATCTTTCTATCAAATGGCAATTCAATGCGTTATCCTGGCATCAACCAGACCCAGTCAAACACAAGCATCTGCAGACCTTAACCAAGGTTCCCCCAAAGTCGCATTTTTTAGTGAATGAATCTCGGCCAGTGGAATTGACCTTCCCATCGAGTCTATGGCACACTCACCCAGGGTGGTGTTCAGCCTAAGGTAGGATTTGAACTTGGGTCTAACGATCATGAGTCTGATGCAACAACCACTATGTTACCAGTGCTATTGGTTAATATTCAAACCATAAATTTGATTGTAAAGTGAGATAATCACATGAATTCAATTTAATCCATAATAGATATAGATCTGTGCAAAGTTAATCAATAATAAAGTAGTACATATTACAAAAGATACTTGAATAGTACTGAAAACCTCATTTACAGTCAATATCTACAAGCCATTGAGAATGTCACAGCCCTCTCTGTTCTTGTACTTTAATATACGGGTAAATGTGTATGACAAATGAAATTTCAGCATTTATATGATCTTTTTTGATCAAGTACCAGTTGTGCACTGAACTAATGACTTGGACTGCCAGACAATTTTAACATGTGTGAGTCCAAATTATAGTACATTGTGAGATACATGTAGTTATTATTGGTGTAGTTGTGTTTGATTCAGTGACATCAGTCTCTGACTAAATTTTTAAAACTGACTGAATTGAATTGAATTGGACTGATTCAGTTAACTATCCCTAGACAAAGTATGCTTTGGAATTCTCTAGAATACAGCGTGTCTGTCCGATTCGCCTTTGTGACACATCAAACACATCCACAGCTGATATATCCAGCACAAGTGATGACAAATTGCTTAGCACAACCAAAATTGTGCATATTCTATCTCTGCTTTTATTTGACTCTACTTCGCTATATGTAATTATGTTTGTTCTGTTAGAACACTGCAACACATACCTGAAAATAGAATTGACTCTAGCCTTTGGAAGTTGCACTATTAGATACACTCTGATTCCTCTCATTAATATAAGAGGTCTTGGAGATCTTAATATAGACAGTGGTGTATATGGATCAATGATATCAGACATCTGAAAAACCTAAAGGATATAGAATACAAAAGAAAAGCACCAAATCATTAT